ACTTGGTTTTTTTGGGATGCTGATGTTGGGGACCCACGTGCCCACAGCTGGGGCTTTCAGCATCTCCTGGACCACAGCCCATGGATTCACTTGGGGCTGACCCAGCGACAGTCAACAGAGAGCTCTCATCACTGACATGAGTGTGGCCGTTCTCAGCTGGTGGGGGGGGGCCCAAATGCTTTTCCTCCCCCCCCCAACTCCCCATTCCAGCCTCGGCAGTGAGGTCACCGGCTGTAGAGCTGCAACCTTTCTCTTTTTTTATCTCAGCTCTTGGGCTGCTGTTTCTTTTCTTGCCTTCAAGGAAGCAGGGGTTGGAGGAAGCCGGAGCCCAGCCTCGCTGCCCCCCATCGTCCCCCCACCCAGTTTGTATCCCCCCACCCCCCAAAAAACAGGGGTGGGCATTGCCCAGCTCCTCACAGCCCAGAAACAGGGAAAGCTGCTGGAAAATAAACCCACTACGTTTCCATGCCTCATTTATTGGAGTTTCTGTCCCTCATTTATTGGAGTTTCTGTCCCTTCTTTTGAGGGTCTTTTAACTTTTTTTTTTTTTTTGTTAAAACAAAACAGCATCCTGTTGGCCGTCCAAGGATGACCACCAAGGATGCCGGTGTTTCACACCCCACATCACTCTCCATCTTTTGGGGTGCCCCTGGCACACACCCCACATCACTCTCCCATCTTTTGGGGTGCCCCTGGCAGGCCTTAGGGATAGCAAAAAACCTCCTGTTTGGATGTTTGAGCTGGAGCAGCTGAGCCCTTGCTGGGAAAAGGAAAAGAAAGTTTTGGGGGTGGACATCACCCAACCTTCTCCCGGCAGGAATCCCACCACCTTTGGAGCTGGGATTGGCTTGTGCCTGCCTCAACATCCCCAAAACCCACCCGTGGGAAGCTTGACGGGCCAGCGTAAAACCTCCTGCCCGCTCCCCACCTCGCCCCCAGGAGCTGATGCCCCATCTCTGGCTGCTGCTGGTGGCCCCAGGACTTCTCCTCCGTGTTTAAAATACCACTGACGTAGGAATGCCAGGGATTCCAGCAGGCTGAGCCCCGTGCGTCAGGGAGATAACTCCTGTGGGCGATGCTGAATCAGTAAATAAGCAGCTTCCCCCCTCCCTGAACCCCCCCTCCACCTCCCTGGGGGGGAAAAAACATCTCCACTCGGCCGGGTCCTTGGCTGCAAGGACCATGGGAGATGCCTGATCTCACCCCAAGGCATCCCGGAGAACCGCAGCTCAGGGGAATGGCTCTGGAGTTCATCTGTGGGTTCTCCGGGTACCAGGGCTTGGTCCCAGTAGGAGAATAAACCCCTCTGATGGGTCCACCTTGTGCTTACACGGCTCAGATGAGCAGAGGTGGAACCCCGGGTGGAGAAACACGCCCAGGCTCACGTGGTTCTCCATGAAAAAAAAAGGGGATTTCTGCTCCCAGGTTGGCTCTTGCCAGGACCAGCTTGTCCCATCTTGACTCCAAGCACAGGAGGACGTTGGCCATGGACCAGCGCGGTTGGGAAAAAGCGTGAGCTCACTTTTTTTTTTATGAAGGAGGCAGAGACCAGAAAGTCCCAGGGCACTGGACAAGCCCAAACGCAGTGGTTTCCCCCTTTTTAAGGGGGGAACTTTTAAGCACATCTCGTATTTCCTTATAAAATAAAGTTTTAAGCCAGAAAACTGTCACCACGCGGTGAGGTCAGTGCTGCTGTTGAGCATCACTGGAGCTGGGGATGCTGCCCAGGAAGGAGCAGGAGATGCTGGAGAGGAACAGCTGCTCTGGAAAGCCAGAGAGCCTTTCCCCATCCCCAATTTCTTTGTAGACCAGATTTGTCTCCTCTGTGTGTCCCAGCAAACTAGAGAGATAGTTCCTTCTCAGAGCACATGTGCCAAGGGATGGTTGGGGCATGGAAGTTCTGGAGAAGATGCTGACCAAGATATAACACGTCAGCAACCACAACTTGTGGTCTGGGAGGTTCAGGTAAGGAAATATTTCTCCTCCAGGAGGGTTGTGCCACCCTGGGCTGGGCGTGTAGAGGTGAGGGATCTCCATCCATGGATGCTCCCAGCCTCAGCCACGCCAACACAAGGCTGATACATCTGGTGGTGTACTGGAGACCTTCTGAGATCCTTTCCACCCCTGTTCCCGTGCCCTTCTGCTCTTCCTTTCTGCCCCAAAAGCTGACAGCTCACGGGAGATGGTGAAGACTTCTCCTAGTGTTCTCCTTACCTCCTGCTTTGCTGCAAGACAAGGACCAAACCCCTCCAGCAAGGGTCAGAAATATACGGATGAGGAAAGAAGCTACGCCAACAACCCCAACCCAAGGTCAGTGCAGCTCCCCAATCCCACCCAGAATTAATCCTGCATTTTTGGGGGAGGGCGAATTTGCTCTTAGGTCCACGAGCAACCAAGGGAAGGCATGGGACCGTGGTTTAGGTGACCCAAATTCCAAAGAGACCCCAGGACAAGGTGACATCTACCAAAGGGCGTGCAGCTGGGGGTCTCCAAGGTGCCGGGTGGCACCCAATGATGTGGGAGGCTGTGCAAGACACCACTGTCCTCTGTCCCTCACAGCCAAGAGAGCTGCTCAAGCTCCCCTGGAGCAGGCTAAGGAGTTGCAGACCTCCTCATGGCCCCTGAAAAACCAGCTCAAGAGGTGGCCACGCAGCGAGGAAGCCCCAGCTCCTCACAGGTCACGCTTTTTCCCCCTGAATCCAGCCACCTGAATGGGTTATGAGGACAAACGCCACATCCCAAGATGTTCAGCTGGTGGGGAGCAACAGGTCTTGGGGTTTGGGGCAGGAACATCTTGCCATGATGGCTGAAGAGCCCAAGTTTCACTGCAACGGGAGAGAAAAGGAGAAAAAAAAAAAAAAAAAGCAAGTGTGACTCAGGCATGTCAGAAAGCCCCGTTTTGGGGGGGGAAGGGGGGAAGTTGGGGCAGAAATTCCAGTCCCTGCCCCAAGGACTGTTTATACGTTTCATCCAAGGCTCGTTACATACAACTATGTGTAAACAGTCCTTGAGGCAGGGACTGGAATTCCTGCCTCCGTCTGTCCCAGGAAGAGCCCGACCCACCGACCCTCGAGTTGTGCTCCCTTCCTCACCCAGCAAAGCTCAGAAACACCCAGAAACTCCCTTCCTCACCCCGAAACAGCTCCAGGCAGGAGGAAAGTGGTCCGAGTGGTCCCATAAACCCTTAGGTCCCCCTTGGCTGATTGAGTAAGGAGTTTCCAGTGTGGAGCTGACCCAAGTAGCTCCACAGAAAGGCAAAATCCTTTGAGGCTTCCTCAGTCTTTAAATTTGGAGGGGAAAAAAAAAAAAAAAAAGGATAAAAGTCAAACCCAGTGATTTAAATGGGGGGTTGCTGGGTTTCCAGCAACCAGCCAGAACTCCTAGAACAGCAAGGGTCAAGGAGGACCAAACCAGCAACTATGGCCAGCCCCAATACCATCCACAAATGGTCTGCAGCTCAGAAGGTGGAATCACGGAATTGTTGGAGTTGGAAGGGACCTTCTAGAGATCATCTAAAGCAGGGTTGCCCAGAGCACATCACTCAGGAGCATCCAGGTGGGGCTTGAAGATCTCCAGAGAAGGGGACCCCTCAAGTGAAGAGGGAGGTGGTTATGGCCAGAGCCAGGACCTGCCACATAAACCATCCCCTTCCCTGGGTTTGCCCACCCTCACGAAGACACCCTCCTAAGGGGGTGATCCTACCAGTTGTGGATGAGGACAACCACATCTGCTTGTCTCACCAACATCTAGAAGGGAGGCCCTTTGAGCACTCCCAAGCCTTGGGTGACTCCTGAGGAGCACACAGGTGGTGAGGCAGCTCCAGCCACCCAGCTCTGTGCAAGTTGCCGCGGTGGTGACAAAGCCCAAGAGGCACACTGAGACCCACCAAGCTGGGAGGGCAGTTCTCTCCAGACACATCCTCCTTCCCACTGGGACGGAGCGTGGAGCCTCCTGGAGGGCCTGGCCAAGCCACAGCTCCTTGTCACACAACAGGAGTGGACATCCCAGGTGCCTTCCACAGGAACCCATCTAGAAGAGAGCCTGGTGAGCAGCCCACCCTTGCAGTAGGAATCTTTCACACACTTTGTGGTCTCCTAGGAGAGGCCAAACCTTCCCACCCAGCTGGCCAACCCCACCTTCCTTGGAGGTGACACACCAGATGAGAAGCCCAAGCTCTTCACCTTTGGGCAAGCTGCTGTTCCAAGTTGCTGGCTTTGTTGAAGGAACAAGCCTTGTTCAGAGGGTCAGGAGCTTGGTCAGACAGGGAGACCTTCAGGTGGCAGGTGGGTGGGAGAAAGCTGCAGAGGGGTTAGATTGTCATTTATCTTCACAGCTTTCCCGTGCACCGTGAAACTGGTCTCTGGTGGGAGAACTGGTGGGTCTCTGGTCTCCCCAGAACAACTCAACCCCACCCTGCTTCCTTCAAGCCACTTAAGGGTTCAGCTACTGAAGCCCATCAGAAGGGCTTGTCTTGACCGGTATCAGAACTGGTCTCCAAGGAAGATCCTTGGCTCAGAGGGCCATGATCCAGGCCCAGGGTGACGTCAATCCTGCGTTGCTATGAGGCAGTTGCCTTGGGAATGTAATTCTAGACAAATTACATTAACTTTCTTAATGGAGTGAGGCTGTAGCTCCGCTGAGACAAGGGAGTTTGCTTGCTTTAAGGAGGACTTAGAGTTGGGGGGGTTCAGCCTGGAGAAGAGAAGGCTCTGGGGAGACCTTCGAGCCCCTTCCAGTCCCTCAAGGGGGTTCCAGGAGAGATGGGGAGGGACTCTGGATCAGGGAGGGGAGCCATAGGATGTGGGGGAATGGTTTTAGACTGGAAGAAGGGAGATTGAGATGAGATCTGGGGAAGAACTTTTTTGCTGTGAGGGTGGTGAGACCCTGGCCCAGGTTGCCCAGAGAAGCTGTGGCTGCCCCATCCCTGGAGGGGTTCAAGGCCAGGTTGGAGGGGGCTTGGAGCAACCTGGTGTGGTGGGAGGTGTCCCTGCCCAGGGCAGGGGGTGGGACTGGGTGACCTTTAAGGTCCCTTCCCACCCAAACCATTCTGTGATTCACCAGATTGCTGGAGCCTCCTGCAAACCTGAACACATCTACTCCAAACTGAAGTACATCTTGCCTGGGTCTTGGAGGGGATATAGAAGTCAAAGTGGCATCATCGAGTTGCCCACCCACCAGGCACCTCAGCACAAAAGGAAAGGCCAGAAGGATCCCACTGTCACAGGGACACCACCTCTCCATAACCTGCAGAAAGGCATCTCTAAATAAGAGCACAGCCAGCTCCTACCCTCTGGAGTCAATGAAAGCAACACTGGGGAGAGGAGCTCCTGTCTGGGGTTGGGGTGGCCACACAGTTGTCCACAAAGAGCCTCAGAGGTGCCTGGTTCTCTGTGTTGACACCAGCTTGGAAGTGGAAGACCTCACCCAGTTGAAATATGGTGGAGATCCTCCCGGCGCTCCTGTCAGCTGGAAGGAGAGGTCACCAGGCACTCGTGAAAGGGAAGCCAGCTTGTGGTTCACTGCTTCCACCCAAGGAAACCCCAACAAGACCTCACCCAGTTGAAATATGGTGGAGATCCTCCCGGCGCTCCTGTCAGCTGGAAGGAGAGGTCACCAGGCACTCGTGAAAGGGAAGCCAGCTTGTGGTTCACTGCTTCCACCCAAGGAAACCCCAAAAGGCATGAAGTCCTGGGTAACTCACCAGAACTGCACCGAGCCCCAGGAGCACTGGGGTGATACCAGCACCAGCTGTGCCATCTAGTGGAAGCGTGGCCATCTCAGGGTGCCCTGCATCAGAGGAGGCCCTCACCCAAAACCTACCATCCATGAGGCACAGGGAGAAGAGCAGCTTCTCCTCAGAGGACAGGGTGGAACAGAAGGGCACCCACATGGGTTTGACTCCCATTGTCCCTCCTGGGGAAGGGACGCTCATGGTTAAAGGCTCTGTGGCAGCAGAAGGGCTCGCTCGGTGGTGGTGGCACTCAAAGGTTCCTCTGCTCCTTGGGTAGAGGAACCACGGCAGGGCTGGTGCAGACAACGACAGCGTTGCCAGTAAGAAACGGGTTGTAATTTAGGCTCGTGTGGTAGACTTTGATACCAGCACCAGCTGTGCCATCTAGTGGAAGCGTGGCCATCTCAGGGTGCCCTGCATCAGAGGAGGCCCTCACCCAAAACCTACCATCCATGAGGCACAGGGAGAAGAGCAGCTTCTCCTCAGAGGACAGGGTGGAACAGAAGGGCACCCACATGGGTTTGACTCCCATTGTCCCTCCTGGGGAAGGGACGCTCATGGTTAAAGGCTCTGTGGCAGCAGAAGGGCTCGCTCGGTGGTGGTGGCACTCAAAGGTTCCTCTGCTCCTTGGGTAGAGGAACCACAGCAGGGCTGGTGCAGACAACGACAGCACTGCCAGTAAGAAGTGGGTTGTAATTTAGGCTCGTGTGGTAGACTTGAGCATCAGGGGTCACCTGAGGAAGAGACAAGACACATTATCCAGTCGTTAAGAGCCCCGTTCCTTGGCCACACGCACAGAGAAGCACATCTAAGGCCGGAGACTCAGTGCTGAGATGTTTCTTCTGGGCAGCTGCCAGCAGCACTGGTGCTGCATTAAGAGCCCCGTTCCTTGGCCGTACGCACAGAGCAGCACATCTAAGCCTGGAGACTCAGTGCTGAGATGTTTCTTCTGGGCAGCTGCCAGCATCATTGGTGCTGGAGGTGGACAAGTGACTCTCATCCTGCTGCAGGGATGCTCTGGGCTGGGCCAGGAAGCTGCTCCAGCCTGTCCCAGGAGAGCCTCTGGGCAGCAGCAGAGCTGAAGGCAGAGATGCTTAAGATGATTCTTATTTATTTATTTTTTTTTTCCTAGTTTCCACGCCCCAGAACAACAGACAGGAAGGTCTGTCCCCTAGGATAGAGGAGGGCGACTTCTGCTCGGGGCAGATTTAATGAAGGTATCTGCTGGGTGGAGTACAGGGAGATACCTGCTCACCCTGATGGCCCAAGCCTCTCCCAGGGGAGAGAGGCCACTTCAAATGGAAGTTTTCTGTGAAGCATCTTCAAGCTACTGATGATGCCTTCTGAGTCACTGCTGGCCTGCTGCAGTGGCTCCCAGCACCAGGTCATCTGGGCTCCACCCTGGAGGTGGCAGCAACAGCCTAAGTAGCCCCAGGAGATGTAGATACCTCTGTTGTCATCAGGAAAACCCTAATTCCTCTGCCTCTTGCACACCCTTCCCCTGCTCACACCACCCCAAAGCTCGCCCCAGACAAGGCAGCGCAGCTTCTGCTGCCCCCAAAAAGCAAGTTGAGATGTTCAGCCTCTAGGAAAGGCTTTGAAACATCTCCCTGAGCCCACCTACACCACAGCCCCTGCCAGTCTCAGTAGCCCAAGCCAACATGGTGCAAGCCAAGAGGTGGACCCACACACACCAACATTGTTGAAGGCCACTTCTGTTTGGGTGGGGCTCTGCCCTTCTTGTGGGCCCTTGTTTTGGGGGGGGTTGCCCAAATTCATCACAAACCAGTTCCAGCATCTCTCCCTGGCCAGCCCTGGATGTGGGCAGGGTGCAGGCAGGCGAGGACTTGCCCACCACTGTGGCAAGGAGAGCTCTTTACAGTGACTGCAGTGGCATGTCCCACCCCGAGGTGCCTTCAAGGGACACCATCATCTGCCCTGGCTCTGCCCTGTCCCAAAACCAGCTGGGCTGATTCTCCTCTTTCCAAAGAGAACTTGGGAAGCAGCAAGCAAATGCCAAAGCTCAAGCAACCTTGGAAGGGTTGGGGGTAGCCCCAAATTCCTGCCGGGTAACCCCAAGAGGCAAAAACCCCAGAGCAAAGCAAACCCGAGTCTCACCTGGTGGGAGTTTTCCACGGCTGGAGCTGGGGGACGCTTCTGAAAGCAGAAAACCACAGCCAGCTGAGAAGAGGGCAAGCAACACTGGGGACATCTGAGAGGTGGTCGTAGAGAGGTGGGGGTCGGTCTCTTCTCCCAAGTCACAGGCAACAGGACAAGAGGAAATGGCCTCAAGTTACATCAGGGGAGGTTCAGGCTGGATATTAGGAAAAATTTTTTCACCATAAGGGTTATCAGATGTTGGAATGGGCTGCCCAGGGAGGTGGTTGAGGCACCATCCCTGGAGGTGTTCAAAAGACGGGTTGATGTAGTGCTGGGAGACAGAGTTTAGTGATGGTGTTGCTTTTTGTTTGTTGTGTGGGTGTTTATTTTTGTCAACATTAGGTTGACGGTTGGACAAGATGATCTTTAAGGTCCCTTCCAACCTAGAAGATTCTGTGATAGCAGCAAGAAAGAAGAGAGCAGAAGGTGCAGGTGGCTCTGGGGCCACCTCCTTGGAGGGTCACCTCTTTGGAGGTGCTACTGAGGCTGAAAACCAGCAGCAAGATCGCGGGCTGGGCTGGAGAGGTGCCCGCTCTGCCCAGCCACCCACCCATTGCACCCATCCTCCTGCTGAAGCCTTGCCTCCAGCTCTCCCACCCAGGTCTGCTGCCCTCCCACCCATCCCTGACCCACAAGCTGGGAGGTCGCATGCGCCGGGAAGGAAAGAAAAAAAGAGAATTAGTAGGATCATTGAGCATCAGGGGTCACCTGAGGAAGAGACAAGACACATTATCCAGTCATTAAGAGCCCCGTTCCTTGGCCGTACGCACAGAGCAGCACATCTAAGCCTGGAGACTCAGTGCTGAGATGTTTCTTCTGGGCAGCTGCCAGCATCATTGGTGCTGGAGGTGGACAAGTGACTCTCATCCTGCTGCAGGGATGCTCTGGGCTGGGCCAGGAAGCTGCTCCAGCCTGTCCCAGGAGAGCCTCTGGGCAGCAGCAGAGCTGAAGGCAGAGATGCTTAAGATGATTCTTATTTATTTATTTTTTTTTTCCTAGTTTCCACGCCCCAGAACAACAGACAGGAAGGTCTGTCCCCTAGGACAGAGGAGGGCGACTTCTGCTCGGGGCAGATTTAATGAAGGTATCTGCTGGGTGGAGTACGGGGAGATACCTGCTCACCCTGGTGGCCCAAGCCTCTCCCAGGGGAGAGAGGCCACTTCAAATGGAAGTTTTCTGTGAAGCATCTTCAAGCTACTGATGATGCCTTCTGAGTCACTGCTGGCCTGCTGCAGTGGCTCCCAGCACCAGGTCATCTGGGCTCCACCCTGGAGGTGGCAGCAACAGCCTAAGTAGCCCCAGGAGATGTAGATACCTCTGTTGTCATCAGGAAAACCCTAATTCCTCTGCCTCTTGCACACCCTTCCCCTGCTCACACCACCCCAAAGCTCGCCCCAGACAAGGCAGCGCAGCTTCTGCTGCCCCCAAAAAGCAAGTTGAGATGTTCAGCCTCTAGGAAAGGCTTTGAAACATCTCCCTGAGCCCACCTACACCACAGCCCCTGCCAGTCTCAGTAGCCCAAGCCAACATGGTGCAAGCCAAGAGGTGGACCCACACACACCAACATTGTTGAAGGCCACTTCTGTTTGGGTGGGGCTCTGCCCTTCTTGTGGGCCCTTGTTTTGGGGGGGGTTGCCCAAATTCATCACAAACCAGTTCCAGCATCTCTCCCTGGCCAGCCCTGGATGTGGGCAGGGTGCAGGCAGGCGAGGACTTGCCCACCACTGTGGCAAGGAGAGCTCTTTACAGTGACTGCAGTGGCATGTCCCACCCCGAGGTGCCTTCAAGGGACACCATCATCTGCCCTGGCTCTGCCCTGTCCCAAAACCAGCTGGGCTGATTCTCCTCTTTCCAAAGAGAACTTGGGAAGCAGCAAGCAAATGCCAAAGCTCAAGCAACCTTGGAAGGGTTGGGGGTAGCCCCAAATTCCTGCCGGGTAACCCCAAGAGGCAAAAACCCCAGAGCAAAGCAAACCCGAGTCTCACCTGGTGGGAGTTTTCCACGGCTGGAGCTGGGGGACGCTTCTGAAAGCAGAAAACCACAGCCAGCTGAGAAGAGGGCAAGCAACACTGGGGACATCTGAGAGGTGGTCGTAGAGAGGTGGGGGTCGGTCTCTTCTCCCAAGTCACAGGCAACAGGACAAGAGGAAATGGCCTCAAGTTACATCAGGGGAGGTTCAGGCTGGATATTAGGAAAAATTTTTTCACCATAAGGGTTATCAGATGTTGGAATGGGCTGCCCAGGGAGGTGGTTGAGGCACCATCCCTGGAGGTGTTCAAAAGACGGGTTGATGTAGTGCTGGGAGACAGAGTTTAGTGATGGTGTTGCTTTTTGTTTGTTGTGTGGGTGTTTATTTTTGTCAACATTAGGTTGACGGTTGGACAAGATGATCTTTAAGGTCCCTTCCAACCTAGAAGATTCTGTGATAGCAGCAAGAAAGAAGAGAGCAGAAGGTGCAGGTGGCTCTGGGGCCACCTCCTTGGAGGGTCACCTCTTTGGAGGTGCTACTGAGGCTGAAAACCAGCAGCAAGATCGCGGGCTGGGCTGGAGAGGTGCCCGCTCTGCCCAGCCACCCACCCATTGCACCCATCCTCCTGCTGAAGCCTTGCCTCCAGCTCTCCCACCCAGGTCTGCTGCCCTCCCACCCATCCCTGACCCACAAGCTGGGAGGTCGCATGCGCCGGGAAGGAAAGAAAAAAAGAGAATTAGTAGGATCATGCCGTTCCCCAGTGAGTTATTGCCATGCAGCATGTGAGGGCTCATCAGCAGGGGAGATGCCACCTTCCCAAAACCAGCAAGAGACCAAGGCATCGTTCATCCCAGGAGGATTTATTGGCACAGCAAGGTGGGATGGAGAACCTGGTCTCCATAGGGACCTTGAAAGGGTTTTCCAAGCAGCCGCCGTCCAGGGCAAAGGTTCTGGTTTGCAGAGCCTCACTTCTTCCTCCGCTTCCGAAGTCTGGTGCTGGGCTTCCCACCATCTTTGCCCTTGGATTTGGGGCCTTCCCCCTTGGAAGCTGGGCTGTGGGGCTCTGAGCGCGCTGGGCTGGCAGAGGGGGCAGCAGGAGAGGGTCCACCAGGGGAAAGGACCACGGTAGTCACTGGGACCAGTGGTCCATGCTCCTGCGAGGTGCTGGGGGGGAATAACTCCAGCAGGTCAGAGGGCAGCGATGGCCAGTCCACGTCTGAGGTGTGGGGCTCCCGTGGGCTGGCCAGGGGCTGCAGCAAGGGTCCCACAGCAGAGGTGATGGTGGCCATGGAACGGGACACGGCCCGGATCTCCTGGGTGGCAGACATCAGGTATCTGTTCGCCCTGAGCTGAGCTTGCAGGAGGCGATCACCGATCTTCAGGAGCTCGTCTGCTTGCTGCATGTTGGACCTGGCCCAGCCACTGAAATCTTCCTGCAGGGAGGCCAGAGAGTCCTGGATGCTCCTGGGAAGAGGCACAGCGTCCCCACGGGCTGACCCCGAGTCTTTCTCTGCTTCTTCATCCCTCTGCATCAGAAGGGCTGGAGGTATGGGTTGGGTGGGGGATTTATCTCCTCCCTGGTCTGGACACAGGTGTTCTTGGCTGCTGGAGGAGTCTGGCATGGGGGCACAGGGCTCGTGGTGGGCAGACAGCCCCACTGGGAGACCTCCACGTGGTTGGCAATGCTCCCTGGGAGGCTCAAGTTCGAGGATCATGGTGGAATCATCGTCGGATGAGGAGTCATGCTGAGGATCAGAGGTACCTGTGGTGGGGAGGGAGGCTGAAGGGAGCAGGAAAGGAGAAGCTGGGAACAGGCTGCCCAGAGAGGTGGTGAAGTGGGAGAAGCCAGGAACAGGCTGCCCAGAGAGGTGGTGAAGTCTCCATCTCCAGAGACTTTCAGAACCCTCCTGGGCATGTTCCTGTGCAACCTGTTCTGGGTGGACCTGCTCTGGCAGGGGGTTGGAGGAGATGATCTCCAGAGGTCCCTTCCAACCCCATATCATTCTGTGATCAGAGGGTCCCTCCCAGCCCACCTTGGTGGGGTGGAGAGGGGAGACAGAGGGATGATACCTACCATGGGATGGAGATGCAAGGAGTAGGATGGGAGGCAGCTTGTCCCCCAGAAACCCCAAGCTCCATCCAGGACATCACCCCTGGGCTCTTCTATGGACTGTCCATCGCCCATGAGCTTGCCCTGGGGAGCTCAGTGGTAGAAGCCCACGGAGGGCCAAGGACACTGGTCATAGCCCAGGTCTGAAGACAGCAGCAGGGGAATGGAGGAGAAGACCCTGCAAAGTCCTTGCACACATCACAGGTGCCAAGGCCTTCACCATTCCCAAACCACCAGTGGTCATGGACCTCTTGCCATTCCCGTTGGGGAGTGCTCCCAGGGAACATTTTGCCTTCTCGGTTGGACATGCCATCCCAAGGCAGGAATCAACAACCCAAAAGGGGAATTGCCCCAGGGTGGTTTTGGACAAGGGTTGAGGAAAGACTAACTGGCTGGAGATCTGAGGAGCAGAAGTGGAGAGCGGGTGGCAGGACACTAAGGCCATCTTCTAAGATGATTATGACCTGAACGCGTCACCAGCACAATAATTTTTGAGAAAGGACGTGGAGTTGATCCAACCCTTCAACTTGCTTCCTCCTTGCCAATGCCAGCCTGTGTGAGCCCATGCTCCGTATGCCTCGTCTCCAGGTGCCACTCACTTCCTTTGTCCTTCAACCCACAGCAAAGCTCCAACCATGTTCCCTCCCAGTACCACTGCATCTGTGGGACCACCATACCCCACAAGAGCAAGAGACAAGCGTTGCTTTGGAAGTGATGGATACCACAACTGCATCCCCTTCCCTGAGGGAGGCTGGAGTGCGCCCACCACACGAGCAAAGGCTGGAGGGACAGGTCCACCAAGTCACCAGGTGGAAGGAGACTTGAAACCCATGGAGAATATGGTCTAACCAGGGATTATAACCTTCAACTCTGCTTTCGGTCCCCCCCTCCCCAGCCCTCCTGGCCAAGTGCCTCCTCACCTGGATGCCCCATGACGCGCTCCTCCAGCGCCTGCAGCCTGGCTTGACACTCAACGAAGACCCTGGGCTGTGTTTGGTCCCCGACCACCGGCGGCTGCAGCCGCTGCAGCTCCTCCAGCGAGTCCTTGATGAAGGGCTGCATGTCCATCACCTCCTGCTCGGTGGCGTAGAGCTTCATCTTCTCCACCAGCCGCTCGCCCGCCTCCATCCGCCGCAGCACCCCCTCCACCCGCTCCAGCTCCCTCGCCAGCTCCCGCCGGCCCTGCTCCTGCCCGGCTTCCACCAGCCCCAGCAGCTCCTCTTCCTCCCGACGCACCAGCCCCACCAGCTGCTCCACGCGCTGACGGATCAGCTCCCGCATCTCCTGCCGGCCCCGCTCCAGCCGCGCGGCCTCCGCCTGCAGCCCCGCGTAGGTGGCCTCCAGGCCCCTTCTCTTCTGCTGCAGCCGCCGCCGCATGGTGCCCAGCTCCTCCTGCCGCCGGTGGGTCTCGCTGAGGATGTCGCAGAAGGTGGCCTGATGGCCGTCCAGCAGCGCGCAGGAGCAGCACAGGGCCCTCTTGCACGTCCTGCAGTAGATGCTGGAAGGAAAACGGGAGCATCCTTCAAAACCAGCAGGGAGAAAAGCCTCTTCCCCTTCCCCAGTGGGGAAACTGAGGCACGGGGCAGGAAAGGGCTTTTCTTCACCTCACCGGCTGCAGATTTTTGGCATGAAGGTGCGTGTTCCACCCAGCTTTGCCCCCCCTCCCTCCTCCTGGGGACCCACCAGCCCCATATCGCACCCTGCTCCGGCCTGGTCTCCAAATAAACCCCCTTGGCCCTGCCAGTAGACGCTGCAAGGCTGAGTGTGGTAATTTAGGCCGCAAACTTTGCAACTCATTCATTTATCCAACTGCAAATTGCTCCAGTCGTTCATCGAATTGAAGCTGCCACCAGGTTTGGGCCAGGCGTTCGGTTTTGTACTCTCTCCATCGCAAAACCAAAAATACGTTGGTTTGCTATCTCCACAGGGTTTCTGCTCGTTTTTATCTCCTCTGCTGGGGTGCCTAACGTCACTGCCGTGCCTGTGGTAGACGTTCAGAGAATCGCCTGGGTTGGAAGGGACCTTTCAGATCATCGAGTCCAACCACCAACCCACCACTGACAAAAGGCATTGCTAAACCCCCCCCGTGTCCTTCAGCATCACATCTACCCATCTTAAATACCCCCAGGGGTGGTGACTCCACCACCTCCCTGGGCAGCCTCTTCCAATGTCTGATAACCCTTTCACGCCCCACAAGAGGAGGAGAGAAATGAGCTTCTCTGCCCTTCCACCAGCACTTACTGGGGTGGTCGTCCTGGTCTTGGCTGGGATAGAGTTAATTTTCACAAGAAGCTGGGAGGGGACCACAGCCAGGACAAGTGACCCAAAGGGATGTTCCATGTCATATGACCTCATGCTCAGAATATAACGGGGGGAGTTGAAGCAGAAATGGATGCTCAGGAACGGGCCGAGCACCATGTTCCAAGGTGCTGAGCAATCCCCCCGTGTGTCACTCGCTTTATGTATTCTTTAATTAGCAGCCTCGTGGTAATTAGTTGCTGGCTGGGGCTAAACCCTGACAGCACCCAAATCCTCTCCAAGCTGGTCCGGACCACAGCCAGGACAAGTGACCCAAAGGGATGTTCCATGTCATATGACCTCATGCTCAGAATATAACGGGGGGAGTTGAAGCAGAAATGGATGCTCAGGAACGGGCCGAGCACCATGTTCCAAGGTGCTGAGCAATCCCCCCGTGTGTCACTCGCTTTATGTATTCTTTAATTAGCAGCCTCGTGGTAATTAGTTGCTGGCTGGGGCTAAACCCTGACAGCACCCAAATCCTCTCCAAGCTGGTCCAGCAGCATCAGCAAAACACACCCTTCTCTGCTCTCCATCACAGCAGCTGAGGCAACAGGCCGCCTTCTTGTTGAGCTCCACCAACCCCACCCTTCTCACCCTAGCAAGGAACATCCCACACACTCCTCTTCCTCATCCCCATCATCAGCTTGAACCAAACCTTCCCTCCGTGCCCTAGAGCTCCACTGGTCGCTGCTTCCCACCCATCTTCTCCATGACGAGGTGGCAATCAGGGCAGCAGGGGGACAGGGACACCCTGCTCAGTCCCATCATGGATTCCCTCCGTGCCCTAGAGCTCCACTGGTCACTGCTTCCCACCCATCTTCTCCATGACGAGGTGGCAATCAGGGCAGCAGGGGGACAGGGACACCCTGCTCAGTCCCATCATGGATTCCCTCCGTGCCCTAGAGTCCACCGGTCACTACTTCCCACCCATCTTCTCCGTGACAAGGTGGCAATCAGGGCAGCAGAAGGACAGGGACACATGGCTCAGTCCACTCATGGACTAGCCCAAAGAGATTTGTGACAAGAAACCACCCAGATGAGGACAGCCCTCCTTAGACTTACCTTACAGCCTGGCTCTTGTGGGTCGGGTTGGGGCAGGACAAGTTACTGGTCTTCCTGGTGCCCTTGAGGAAGTCCTTAGCAGACCCTGCTCTGATGTCCATCACCCTCATGGCTTTGTGGGTCTCCCTCTTCAGGTAGTGCTGGTGGGCCTCGAAGCACGTGGTGCAGAGGAACTCCTCGCACTGGGGGCACCAGAACTCGCCGGTTTTCTTGCAGTTGCTGCAGAACAAGTCAACTCCGTCAATGATCTTCTTGTAGGTCTCGAGCCTGGCCTGCAGGCTGGTGAAGAGCAGGTTGTCCATGTCAGGGATGCCACTGGCCTGCGGGATGGCCGTCCGGCAGATGGGACACTGCCCCTCAGACTTGTTCTTCCTCAGGCAACCGAGGCACAAGGTATGGAGGCAGGTGAGGAGCTTGAGGTTGGGCGATTCCTTCTGGCAGCCCTCGCAAAGGATGAACTGGAAGTCATCTTGTAGGAGCTTGGAGGGGGGGAGAAAGGAGAGAGGCAGAGGAATGAGTGCTGAGATGGGTTTTTAAAAGCTTCTCAAACCACATCTTGGGGGGAAGAAGTGACCTGCAAACCCTTCTTAGAGCAACCAGTGAGCAACCACGTCCCACCAGTGATGCCCAGATCCCCTAAACAGGCTGGAGGTTGCACCTGGGTAGGGTTGGATGGACGGAGCCTTGCTGAGAGCTTCTTCTCCTTCCAGCAAAGAGGAAATGGGATGGTTCCCCTGGTTGTGGGGCTGGGGGTGCTGCCGAGGGGCAGAGCAGAGGATGGAGCACGGAGGAAGCACCCAAGACCCCCAGACGACCCCCTGAGCAGGCTGGGGACCATCCTCCCAACCACCTCCTTCACTCAGCCCATCCCTCTGGCCTCCTGCCTGGACCAGCCCCCCTCCCCCCAT